AGAGAGAGAGAGAGAGAGACGTGTATACAGTGTGTGTACTCGTGGGTGCTCATTCAAATACAGCATGTCAGAGTTAACACTTCTCCCCCACCGCTAACCTCTGCTCTTGACAACAGATGTCATTTAGCCTTTTAGACAGCATCCATTTACAAGTAGAAATGTAATGCTTACGTCCCAGATCCATTAACCTAAAAAAGACAATTATGCTACATCAGTTTGCACCCTCATTTTCCCTGTGTGAACCTTCTTTTTTTTCCCCTCTCTTGTAATTACTGGGAGGATTTTTTTTTTCCAGGCAGCAACCTAAGCAATCCAGTGGTTGACTATAGTTTAATATGACCTTCTTTTTTCTCTTCTAATGCATGTAATTTCCCAAAAGACACATCTTTGTGCTGAATCATACATGTGTTATTAAAATGTGGCAATTAGCAAGGTTACAGAGGTTGCTAAGAGGGGAGAAAGATATTTGATTTCCTCTGGCTGGGGAGGCTGAACTGTAAGCACTTCACATTCCTGTTCAGGTTTCTTGAAAAACAGACTATCCAGCCAAATGGCCCGAGAGGGAGTTTATTTTTAATTGTTAACCAGAGGACAGGATGAAGGAAAGCCATAGCAAATATAAAATATAGTGCATTCTGCCTGTGCTCTACACATGCGCTAGAATTAGGCTAGTACTCAGTTAGGAGTCTGACTTTCACACTAATCCTTAGAACTTCCAACAGTGTAACAGTAGCCATGTAGGACAGCATAGTGGAACACACCCAGCCAAGCACAGAGCAGCTCTCAACTCGACTTCACCTGAGGACAGTATATGCACAGGCTGACCATACAGGCCGAGTGTCGTAAACAGGCACACGGCCAGAAAACTTTTCCTTCAGTATATGGCACATCCAGCTGACTACTTTATCATATCAGTGCATTACATTCAAGTGGGACACAGGTAATTATGCCTGCAGTTGGGTCGTATAAAGAAAGTTTCGGTCTGTTGGTCTCGTCTCTGAGCGAAATACTTTTTGAACACAGACAATCAGTGTAATCATCTGTTCAAATTCAAAATTCACAATAAAAGGACAACAGGCTTCATCTTGTACTCCAGCGGGTGGTGTTCCTAAAATGCAATGTCCCACTGTCACACCAGTTATCAGCTTGTTCTCTTTGCTAACACCAAATTTTGGATTCAAGACCATATAAAGATGAGGCCGCTTGCTGACTTTGTAAAACGCAACCGCCTTACGGTAATGTTAGCTTGTCACATAAGGCAGTGAAGGCGTCACAAACGTTAATTCCACAACGCCATTATCTATGTGGGTTGCATTTAAATGAATTCAAACGAATGAGTGCGTTCGAACAGTAACAGAATGTACAACTCAAAACGCAACCTGACTTTTTGTAACAAGGCAACGTTGGTTAGTTACAACAATGATAAAGGAGCTCTAGGAAGGATGACAAATATAAATACTAGGAATTTTAGGAGGAGTTAAAACCTGCAAATTGGCTATTTGGCTTTGGGTCTGGTCTAAAATAACAAGTCTCTTAGTTCAGAGGAATATAAACACAATGGAGCAGAGCTAGTGGGTTAAGATTGTCGTAAATATACATTTCCATTTCCCTAGAAGGGTTGGAAAGCCACAAATGTCACTGAGGTAATAACTGCTCACTCCTTCTTCATGAAGAGGGATAAAAGAGGAGGATGGCAAAAACAGAGGGAGAGAAGGGAAAGTGAGGGAGGGCAGGTGTGTGTGTTAGCGTGTGTGTGTGTGTGTGCGCGCATGCATTTGTGTGTGGGTGGCAAAGTGACAGGCGATGATTAGCCCAACCAGAGGAGGATATGTGGGAGGGAGTGTGTGGGAGTAGTGGGGCTGGCGAGAGAGAGAGAGAGACTGTCTCTTTAGGCGGAGATATACACAAGTGGATTAAAAGAGCACTCATACTGTACAAACACAGAAATAACAGGAGAGGTATGCACAGAAAATGCACACAACCATGTAACCAAAGGGCATACACACACAGTACAGGGTGATTCCTTACTGAGGGAACATACTGTGTTCTAGGGTGTAGTGCATGTTGAGTTGTTGATGATAAAAACAGCGACGGAGGATATTTTTTTGTTTATGTGTGTGATTGTGTATATGTATGTGTGTGTGTGTGTACGTACTAGTGTGTGAGAAAGACAGGAGGGAAAAAAGGGAAGAGGGAGGAAGAAAGAGATGAAGACCAGCTGCCGACTCTTAGGTGTGTAGGTGGGACCATTTGCAGCCTGTCTCTCCCTGAGCCTCTATGAAATCAAGAAATCAACAGGCTTTAAAAGAGGTGCAACAAGAGCTCAAACTTATACACCCATACGAAAGTGTGAGCACGTGCAAATACATACAGGCTACACAGAAAAGAGCAGATATTTATCTTTTTTTATAGGATGATCGTCAATCTGCTCTTCAAAATACAACAATAACATGATCCCAACCGACTTATTAGGAGAGGGGAAAATCATGGATGGGGTGTCAATTTCCGGTGGGTAGAAATTTCAAATCTGGACAACATAACGGGAGTGGATTTAAATGGAACAAGCAAGCGTGGAACTATCATCACGACCGAGTCTGATGACATGAGAAACTTGAGAGACCATAAATAAACCTCTCTTCAAGCCTTAATATCAGCTTGGTGGGGATGTTATTCTTAAAATCTCCATCAATACACAGATTAGAAGTGGGTGAAAATAGCTATTAAAAAAAAACATTAATACTGTGGGAAGAAACACATTTATTTACTCTCTTTATTTACACGGCAACATCTCTCAAGAAAAATAAGCTTAGGACAAGATTAATCACAAAAGGGAGATTTAAAAGCTCCTATCCGTATTCTATGTGTTGTCAGCCACAGCACACAGCTGTGGTATGTTCAGCTAACCTCCAGTGCTCTATTTTGCTCTGATCTGTGAATGTTTCAGCGCTCTACCACCAGATAAACAGGAAACTCAGCGCTAGCCCCTGCACACTGTTTGACAGGAGGTCTGGCCTCTGGCAACGACCTCATGGGTGGGGTCCCAAAAAAGCCGTAAGCAGGTGGCTGGAAAAAGCAACACCGATCCTTCCTTTGGGAACAGCTGGCATGCAGTGGAGGGTAGCTGGTACAGATACAGGCAATGGGCAACAGGGGGTAATATCTTTAGCTACAGAACAACCTTTTCTTTGTCATTGTCTGCTTTTTTTCTGTGTTCACCAAGCTACGTGAGATATAAACACAGAGAAAATGACCAGGAGGATGAGTCATTTCAAATATTCAGTCCCTTGCAGATCTCCCTCCCTCTAGGCAGAGCTTTTGAAAATGGAATCAGTTTTCAGTTGCGTCATAAATACTTGACAAAAGAGATGAGTAAATTGATATGCTTCACACACACGCATATACCACAATTTCCCAAACTGGCATTTTTACATCATTGGCGAATATGTGTAACAAGGGTACAACTACCAGCAAAACACAGAAATGTAAACCCACATTTAATAGGATCTGACAAGAAGTATATTTTTTTAAATAATATAGAACTGCTTGCCGTTTGAGCCACGGAGCCGTGTGCTGCGAGCCGTCAGTCAGATCATGTCCATGTTGCTCTCTTTTCATGACAGTTCAGCTGAGGATGTCTGGCTTGCAAGAGCCTGCTACTGTAAGTTCAACATGGAGATACTGCTGTAAACTTTGGAATCAATGGAAAACCTCACAGAGGCTGTGAGATAGAGAGATAGAGGGAGAGAGGGAGAGAGAGGGCCGCTTACTGAATAAAACATCCTGAGAGCACTTTCATGTCAGTCCCTGTTGGCTGGGCTGGAGGAAACCCAAACTGGATCTCGACTCCACCGCAACAAAGGCCCCGTCAAATCAACAGCTACTTTTACGCAGATCAAGCAATCGAAAGCACAATCAGTGCAAAGGGAATCTCTTTAAACAGGAGCTGATTTCCCATGGGCTGGTGACAGCAAATACAGACACAGCGATCACCTAGGAAACTACTCACTGTGAGAGACCAGGTGTTGGTTCTCCAATTGACCTCTATTTTTGTAACGAGAACACACACACACACATATACAGACACACCTAATTGACATGACATACACACGTCATATAAAGGTGCGACACTCGTGATGTGGTACACGGATACATTTTTCCACACAGAATCAATATTAGACCTGGAAACGTGTCAAATTCCAACCAGTCACATTCTTATCCAAAATCAATCTTCAGCTCGGATGTTACCACGTCTGTGATATTGTAAATAAATAATGTTCAGCTCCCACCTCTCCGTGCTGACGGTGTTGCATTCATTATTGTTACCTATTTCTATCTCTGATTACATCCCTTTGGACAAAAAAAAGAGGACCATAAATTGAAAAAGGTTATTTCCTCCAGGACACAATATAACAACAAACTGCTTAAGGACTAAAATGATTCAGTAAAAATTCTAATTAAAAAAAACATTTCCTGTATCAACCCACATATTTCTCTCTAAAGGCAACTTAGCTTCTCCTGCCACATTTTTACACAGGAAGCTGATGTTAGATGACGTGAGTCTGTGTGTTAAGGACTGATGCTCCTTGTTGAAGGACAAGGTCAAGCCACCAAGAAATGAAAAAGAAAGAAAAAAACAGAGGTCATCAGGTGTATGTCAGTCACTTACCCAAATCTTTGGATCCTTGACTCTCACTGGCCAGTTCACCCATTCTGACCAGAGCATCAAAGTAGCCTTTGGCAGCAAATGTCACATCTAGAGACAAGGAGAAGCAAGAACAACAAGAAAGCAGGGTGACTATTAAGTCGAACATTACAGTGTAGCGTGCGTCTACAGCTCTGGAAAAGACAAACTATTATACAGTTTAGCTTTGTGTAAACAAAGTCGTCATCAGTCTGGCCAGTGACCCTGAAACATTTGCGCTCTTCTCTTCACTGCAGCTCTGCATTTCCTCAGATGCTTTTTCAAGTGCCGACTCACAGCTTCTTGCCATCAGAAAATAAAGCAGCACTGATGTTGCTACATAATTACTCAACATCATCTTGTTGGCATTCTGCATGCTTGATTGCAAAGAGGAAATTATTTTCTGACAGATAATCTGTACTTGATGGGGAAGCCACACAAGCGCAAAACATGTTTTTCCGTTATTTTGTTTCTAGTTTTGTGTCATAATGAGAAGGAAAGTTGGTTTAGTACCACGCCGAGGTGCATGTGAGTTTAACGTTTAACATTTAGACGTCTTTTTTGGCACAATTTCCCCCATACTTTATATTCAGTGAAGCCTGAATTAATGTTGCCCTGAAGTCATCAGTTTTTCCAGATAACAACAGGAAACACTTTGTTGTTTGTTTTTAACCCTGTCCACCCATGTTTTTAACAGTTTATCTTTTGCTACATTTACAATAAGTACCACACATTGCAGCGAGTCGATGAGACTTCAACTTTAAACAGACATAAGTTTAAAGTTATATTGTCTGGTGTTTGTAGTCAATTTTGGGGCATTTTTCATTCCTGGACTCTTTTTGATCTGTGACCAAACTGACCACTAAGCTTCAATATTTGCCAGCCAAGGAAATAACAATGTCATGCTGTTAACCACATGCTGTTAAACACCACTGGCCTTTTCCATCTTCCATTCCATTTCATCTTTTTTGTCAATATGTCTGAACACTAGACAGCAGGGTGACACAGTGACTTCAGGGGACTGTTGATTAGTGGCTGGATTACGGTTCATACACCTGTGTAGGCAAGGCTTCAGCCTGCAGGGGATACCCTCTGCAATACTACATGCCCCCCGGTTTCAGGTGTGCTGTATTGTGGCTAACACTGCAGTGTCACCTCTCTGGGGAGGGAGTAAGCGAAAGGAGTCTTTTCCCTCTAGCACTGATGAATGTAAATTGAATTGCCTTTATAATATAACTACTGAAATCATCTGCTTTTCCACTAATAAACAAGAGAGTTCAAGGGTCAGTGTATGCACAGATATGCTGTCACAACACAAAAATGCTTGACCTCTAGATCTTGAGCAAACACAAAAACAATTTGTGAGGTTAATCCTAATCATCAGCCATATCTCCTCTTCTGTCCCACTGATTAAATAAAGATCAAGAGTGCTCCTGGTTGCCCAGATCAATATCCACCTCAGTCCCTATTATTCCAACTGCTGCTGCGCTGGCCAACAAAGGTCACACAGGGCAGAGTCAGCTTCCAGTGATTTTTGCCCGACTGCCACACAGACTGCCAATCAGCCCATCTCCAGTAAATAATGGCCGTTGCTTTTGGAGGTGAATTCAACAGCAGCCCAGGTGACAGATGGGCCCTGTGCCTGCAGACAGCTGCCAGGTGAGAGACACATTTACAACAATAGCCTGGCAGGGACAGGCTAATTCCAGCAGACAGATGCAGCCCTGCGATAGAGGAAGTCTCTCAGGCTGGAAGCCTTGCAGCTCTGCTCCGAGGATGAGGGACATATGCTAATGCTAATCCCAATTACAGCTGAGTCAAAGGCAGAAGATGGCATGTGTTTCCTCCTTCCTCTCTTGCTGGGGGAACACCTGAGAACTGAGAGCAGAGCCCCCTCCAGAGCATCACGGCTGATTTCTCTTCATTATGCCAAACAGACCTCCTGCCCGCCTTGGTGTGTGTGAAAATGTGAAAGTGTGTGTCTGTACGTGTGAGTTTGCAGATGTGTGGCAGGGGGTTGTGCAAGTAGGACACTACGAGAGCTACGGCAGGTTTTCAAAGCGATCTCCAAGCAACAGAGACTTTCTTCTTGGCGATGCTGCTGCTGTAGCATGTGTGTGCGCAGCTGAAGGGTGGCTGAGTAGATAAGCTGGATCTATATGGATACTTTACTTCTGTCTAATGAAATGTGTGGTGGGGGGCTCACTGAGACAGACGGAGGGGATTAACGGATCTCTGATTGCAAGGCAGGCAGACAATCGGTAGGGGAGGGGCTCATCTCAGAGCTACTGATCCATCATTCATCCTTCACTCTAGAGAAGAGGAGAAAGAACCACACATCTCTTATTCAGGACAATGATAATTTCCTGCACCTACATCATCCTCATCATGCTGTCAGGGGACGTGTATAACAAGTTCCAGGCTGTGTTTAGTAGGCACTGTTGGAGTCACTCAGTTGTATGCATCTGTTGCATTTACACCTACCAAACGCTGTGAGATTTAGCGACGGACTGCTGTGTTGGAAAACCTAGAACATGACCATACCCAGATCTAGCAAGCCTACCCATGAAGCCCTTTTGGCATTTCTGGTGCTGAGTAATTTCAGTGATTGCACCATATGGGTGTAAGCATGTCGTCCCATTCTCTGCCCCCGCACATCAGAGCCTGTTAGTCCCTTGGGTCGAGCCAATCCTGCAAAGTGGGTCTTTAATGGCTCAATGAGTCGCCTACCAGTCTGTCTACTACCTACACCAAGGCCGGGATTAGTTATTGTGTGTGTCAGGAGAAGGACACACATGCTTGGGGAGGGGGGAGAAGCCCCACTAATTTTTGGATTAGCTGGACTGAGGGAGTTCTGCCTTGTGTTAGGGTTGAGGGACATTTCTGGGGGAAAGTGTTGGGACGTTGTTACCAAACAGAGGGCCAATGAAAAATCTCAACAAGCATTCAGGGTGCGACAAACATATATCCACACATTTTCCTTTGTGAATTTGACTGCTGACAGTGAGCTATCCTCACCTCTGCATCAGATTAGAGGCCTTTTGTGTTTCTCTGAATAGACGTCCACTACAGTACACAAGCCGTGCCAGAGGCTGTGCACCACATGATAAGGCCTGCCCCTTTGGCAAGAGGATGAATATCATCCTTTTTTTAGTAAGACAAAAAAGAAAGATAGGTAGATAGATATATACATGGCGAGAGAAAGAGGCAGAGAGAGAGAGAGTGCTGGCTTGGCTGTGTGCCTAAACCTGCAGAGAAAAGCACGGAGAAAATAAATGAGAATAAAAAAGGACTTACTGGCAAGGGCCTTCTCATAGTTCTTCCCCATGGCAACAAAGTTCCGTAAGCAGGGGTTGAACTGCTCCATGATGGTCTGAAAGAGAAAACAAGGGATAGATGGGAGGTGGCGGTTTCACTTATCAGCAGAGCAGGGTCAAGGGCAGAGAAGAAAGACTTCGAGCTTGCACTATACATTCTCTCTCACACTTTTCTGCCTCTCTTTCTCTCTCTGACATACACAAACCTCCTTCAGCTGCACAAAATCTGTCTTGCACACAGTAAACAGCCATCGTCAGAATCTTTGGGCACACACTGTGGTTGTCTCGAATGTTAATGAGGGCAGGAATGGCTCCTCCGCCCACATCCTGCCCTCTTACAGTGAGAAATAGTTTCAGGTGGGATGAAGCGGGAGAGAATGGGGGTGATGATGGTGGCGGAGGAGTGGGAGAGGTACTCGTGGACTAAAAAACAAAGTGACTGTGAAATTTGCATTGACAGGGATGCACACAGTTGCCCTAGAGCATTAGATGACGGACGCAAAGGCTAATTATGGCTGCTGGAGAACAGAGCAGTAGATTTTACAGATGAATATAATATATCATGCTGCTGGCCATAATTCATCAGCATCTAGACTTCAAATTACTGCTTTCACATCTAATTTTCATTATAACAAAAAAGCCGTTAAAAGACGCGTTATTGTGGAGATACAGTATCATACTACACTGCAGGCACAGTCAGTGTAAATGCAGGGAAAGCATGATGCCTGACATCTCCCACCACCATTGTTTCCTGTACTTCTCTTCTACCTCTCTCCTCTCCTTCCTCCTCTTGTGCTCCTCCAGGGCTTCCTCCAATTAGTCGGTCCCCAGTCAGCTAGTCAGGAACAGCCAGGGGACAGAGAGACAACCACAACACTGCTGCAGCAGCAGTCCCAAACACAAGCCATCAATACTGCAGGAGAACACTTAATAATCTACTTCTAGCCTGAATTCACACAGTGGCAGAATAATATGGCAAGGTGCCACCAGTGTCAACCTGAAACAACCCCAGCATCATCCTGAAAACCAAATGCCTGTTATCTTCAGTCATACCTTCCTCATTTTTTGCCTTTTCCTTCATCTTGCTGTCTGTCTTTTGTTTTTAATGAGAACCAAGCTTTGGATAGGACGGGATATGTGTGTGTGTGCTTGCTGCGGTGTGTATCCTGTCAGGAGTCATAGTTCAAGTGGCCTGAGTGTAGCATAACCCACCTACAGTAGAAATACCAATGAGTCAGACGTGAACTTTCATTACCAACAGTAACTATTTTACTACGCCTCTCCATGACTGTGCTTGCGTCTAAAACCGGTACAGAGAAAAACTGGACTGGATTACAACACAAAGCTGTAATCGATTGCTACGAATTACCATGAATTAGTACAATCAACATAAGAAGTATTGTACATTTGTATGTGTCTATTAAAGAATAGGGATAGTTTCTTGGGCTGAAATTATTTTCTCAATTGTCTATGAAAACAATACCTCATCTCACAGCCCAAGGCGATCCATTTAGATAGCTTGTTATATTTCACTAATGGTCCAAAACCCAAAGATATTCAGTTTGCAGCAGAAAGACAAGTACGGTGTTATTCAGGTTCCTGTAGCTATTGGCTGGCTAAAGAGAGGTCAACATACGCCCTGTTAAGGTCCTCCACTGCTGTTAACTGGGTCTAGCCCACAAGCAAAAAGGACTGCAAGTTCGGTGTACATCAGTGCAGTAGTAAAAGCACAGTGAGATATAGAATCTTCTTTTGAAAACAGTTCCTGAAGGTAAAAAAAACCCCAACAACAGCTTATAATGAATATAATATAATGCACAGCTGATTGTTTTTTACAGAGGGCTTTGTGTCACTTTATTGTTTTACATAAACGTATTCCAACGCTACCTGGAAGTGACGACAGAAGGAATACTGTAAACTACTCTAATAACAACTCATGCTTAAATCAGCTCCCTTTACCCACCAATGGCCTCCGTTAGTCTAATATACTAAGGATAGGAGCATAATTGGGGGGAAAATCCCTTCTTCAAAACACATACACAGCGCGAACATAAAAAAGGTATCCCCGCTCTCTCTGCCTCCGGGAAGATGAAAGACTAACGCGTCCCTCAGGATCTCTCTAAGGAAATGTTTTTTCTACATGTTTCTTCGCTCTGCCTGACTCTGATGTAAAGTGCATCTCATTGATGAGGACGGGGTCACGCCAATGTGTGCAAATCACACACACAAAGAGGCTGTTATGCACGTGCGTGTACTCGTGCACACTCCTACATTAATACAAGGCTTTATAATAAAAGAGTGGTGGTGTTTCAAACCGGTGGGAGGATTACATAACAAAGCAAAGCCCGGTGCAGCATCATTATGGCACACTCTCCCACTGAAGAGGCCAAAGGTAGCTGACACAGGTTACTGCCTTTCTTACACATACTGCACACACACATACACACACACACACACACTCGGAGCAGCGAGCCGAGCCGCTGTGCCAGGTGGCAGGGGGAGGCTCTCGGCTGAGAACGAGCAGAGAGGAGGAGGAGAGGCTCTTGGCCGGCCTTGAAAGCGAGAGGCACAAACGGCAGTGGCGATGCCCAGGTTTGGATGCGGCCGGGGCCCCCACAAGCAAAAAGACTGCAAGTTTCCGGGTTACATCAGTGGCAAGTAGTAAAAAGTCACAGTGGAGATATAGAATCTTCTTTTGAAACAGTTTCCTGAAGGTTAAAAAAAACCCCAACAACAGCTTCATAATGAATATAATATAATGAAACAAGCTGATTGTTTTTTTAACAAAGAGGGCTTTGTGGTCACTTTATTGGGTATTTACATAAAGTATTCAACGGGCTACCTGGGAAGTGACGGAACCAGAAAGGAATTACTGTTAAACTACTCTAATTAAACAACTTCATGGCTTTAAATCCAGCCCTCCCCTTACCCACCAAATGGGCCCCTCCGTTAGTCGTAATATACTAAGGATAGGAGCATAATTGGGGGGAAAAAATCCCTTCTTCCAAAATCACATACACAGGCGCGAACATAAAAAAAAGGTATCCCCGCGCTTCTCTGCCTCCGGGAAGATGAAAGACTAACGGGGGTCCCTGCAGGATATTTCTCTCTAAGGGAAATGTTTTTCTAGCATCGTTTCTTCCGGCTCTGCTGACTCTGACGAAAGTGGCATTCTCATTGATGAGAACGGGGTCACGCCAATTCAAAATCACACACAACAAAAGAGGGCTGTTATGACGTGCGGTACTCGTGCAACACCTCCTACCATTAATACAAGGATTATAATAAAAGGTGGTTGCGTGTTCAAACGGTGGGGAGGATTACTAACAAGAGCAAAGCCCGGTCCAGCATCATTATGGCACACTCCTCCCCCATTGAAAGAGGCCAAAATGTAGGTGAACAGGTTACTGCCTTTTC